AAGCCGGAAGGCCTTGGGTTCAATCTGCAAGCGTTATTAGGGTCCATACAGGCTCTTTATTCAGCCATTGAAGCGTCCTCCATTTGTCCCACCAATTCGTAATCATTCCTTAAATTTTCCCTACAAGTCACTTTCAGAGGAGAGAGTGGGGAAAGTGACCTGGTGGGGTGAGTCCGTGCAAAACCCCTCCCAGTTCCTCCTTCATTCTCAAAGTGAGCTTCCCTCCATCTTCCCACCCTGCCCCTCCAGGCTACTGAGGCAGTTTTCCTACCCTGCAGTCTGCTTCTTCACCCTGGGAGAGAGAAGCAAGCAGGGTGTGAAGGGGTAGGTTTTGGGAGGTTGTTGTTGTATGCATGTTTTGTTGGGTATTCCCAGACAGTTCAGCCTGGACTCCATTTAGCCCAGGCTTGCCTTGAACTCCTGAGATCCTCCAGCCTCAGCCTCCCCGCAGCGCCACCCCTAGTGCTAGGACTACGGGTGTGTGCCTAAAACCAGCCTGCTGGGCGTTGAAGGCCAGCTTGAAGCGCAAAGCCAGGCCCCATCTCAAAACCAAAACACAAAACCACCCCACTGGGCAGAAGTTGTGGCTTAGTAGTACTGTACTCCACCATAACACACAAATCACTGGGTTCCATCCTCAGCTACGCAAAAAGAAGACCTAAAACCAGCCTGCAGTCTTACTGCGAGCTCCTGGTAGCTCCTCGCACTAAAAACATTGTCATAGGAAACTGAAAAGGTCGAGACAGGAGGATTACTGCCTAGGCAACACAGCAATTTAGAAAGACCTAGAGGAAACTCTTTGTCTCAAGGAAATAAATGACCACCACAAAAAAGTCTGGCGATGTAGCCCAGTGGAAAGGCCTGAGTAGCCACAATACTACACAAAAGAAAAGGATCTGAGAACGTTGCCAAAGCCGCAGGGACGAGGGACCCGCCGGGTCTCAGCTATCCCACGCCGAGCACCGTAGGCAGGATCACTGCGCATGCGCGGGCGCGTTCCCGCCCAGATCCGCATTCCCATCATTCACAGCGCTGCCGCAGGGGAAGCTGGGAGCCGCATGCTGACTGGGCTTTGGCGCGCTCACTCGCGGCACCTCGGAGGTTGCCTCTCTACGCTGCGAGTGTTGGGCAGAGCCTCGGGCTGCATCTCCAGTGAGCTCCGAGCGCCGGGAAAGAGGCCAAGCAGCGCCTGGCCTGCCGCTTGCTGAGCTGGAGCTCCCGAGCGAGCTTCCGCCGTGAGCCAGGACGCGGGCGGCGCGTGTCCGTGGCGGCTCTCCGTTCCTGTGGCGGGCGCCGTGCAGACTACGGCTTCCCGGGCCGGCTCATTGAGGTGAGTGAGAGTGCAGGCCGCGGGGTGGGAGCTTTAGTTGGGCAGAGTATCGGTGCAATGTGCAGTGAGTGGCTGCGTTTCTCAGAGCCTGATTGTGTTTGCGGTGGGAGCGGGAGCGGTGGCCGTGGCCCGGAGCCCACGCTCGCACGCCACCGCCGCGACCGGCCCAGGCGCCTCCTTTGAGCCTCAACAGCGGCTGGCTTTTTGCTCGCTGCGGTGTTTGTAAGCCAGGGTCTGGCCTTGAACTCACAGTGTAGCCCAGGCTGGCCTCGAACATGGTGGGAGTAGAGACGTGCACCCCCTTACGCGGCCCCTTACGAGGGTTTTACTAAGGAAGGCACTAGCTTGTTGTGCAGGTGAGCGGGCTTAGGATCAGGCATGTTGAAAATAATCTGTTACGATGATGGCTGAAAACTGAGATCTGCCGTAGATTTAGTTTACTCATCACTTAAAGACAAAAGCGCACCAAGAACGTTGCATTCTAGAAAGGATTTGGATACATTAGCTAAAAGATAGGTCAAGTACAAAATGTCGTCTGTAATATATAATAAGCTAGTCTGAGATCTAAGTTTTTATTTTCCTGAAAGCAGCAGTTCTTGAATTGTGATTCCCAGGCAAGCAGCATCGTTTGGAAACTAGCTGGGCCTGATGGCAAATACCAGTAATAGCAGCTACTCTGAAGGCCAAAGCAAGGAGGAGCAAAAGTTTGAGATTAGCCTGTGCAATTTATTTTGTTTATTTTTTATTTTCTTTGGCGGAACTGGAGACTAAACTCAGGCCCTTGCATTTGCCAGGGAAGCGCTTATTCTACTGAGCCATCTCCCTGGCCCAGCCACTGCAAGTTAGGCACCCAAAAAATATTTTTTGAAGACAGGATATTATTTCAGACTGACTATGAACTTTCAGTGATTGTACTACCTCAGCCTCCTAGCTGCTAGGATTACAGGTATGTGCTGCCTCACCCAGCACAAAATAAAGGTGGGTCTGGTGGTGTTCCTTGAAAGTGCTTGTCAAACTTGTGCTGGATTGAGTCACCACTGGTGCAAAAGAAAGGAAAGACCTGAATCACACACGGGAGGAGCTGGGCATGGTGGCACATACGTGTAATCCCAGCACTCAGGAGGCTAAGGCAGGAGGATCTTAGCGAGTTTGAGACCAGCCTTGGTTAGAAGTGAGCTCAACGCCAGTCTGAACTGTGGAGCAAGACCCTGTCTTAAAAAGAGGAACCAAAAGAAACGAAACTGGGGGCGTGATCTAACAATCTTTTACCCCAACCTTCAGGTTTGGGTGATAGAAGCTAAGGCTTCTTATAGCAGTGCAGGGCATTAAATTACTCTTAAGTAGAAAACTGAAATGTTTATGTTTGTATTTGAAAATACCGGTTTAGCTGCTGGTTTAGTAATTGGTTGGAGGCACCTCTGTCTATCCAGGAGGTAAGACACGGTTAGTTTGAAGTGGATTAGTTTGAAGTGGAGAAAGTAGTGACAGCACCTGCAGGGCTTCTCTTCTCTGTTCTTGTTGTGTCATGATACTGAGAGGTAGAGAAGACTGGTGTGTATGCTTGGGAGTGGGCAGCGCAGTAGGCCCTGGAGGATCTGATGTCCAGGTGCTAGAGCCACTCTCTGTTCTAGGTATTCAACAACATTTTGCTTTGTTTTGGTTTTTTGGTGCCAGGAATCAAACTCTGGAGGCACATAAGCCACTGAGCTATCTCCTCAGCCCTGTGACAACGGTTCTTATAGTGCATATTTTTGTCTGCAAAGCAGTTGTTCACATTACCAGATATATAACCACGTAAAATTGGCCAAAATAAAAATTTTAAGCATTAACTGCTCCTTTCAAAAAGCCAATAGAGGGCTGGCGAAATAGCTCAGCGGATTAAAGACCCTGCAAGCAGGGGCTAGGAGTTCAAGCCCTGGACCTGCCGCGTTGGCCACACCCTCAGGGTACACTGAGACAGCGAGACTGGGTGTGGTGCTGCACACCTGTAATCCCCACTCTTGGGAGGCTGTAAACAGGCGGATCACTACAAGTCTGTAGTAGTGAGACCCTGAACAACTTGTAGACCCTTCCCTAAAATAAAAATAAAAAAAAAAAAAGGAAACTAGTACTACAATCATCTTAGCTATTGCTTTGGAGCAGTTTCTTTTCCTTTCACAGTATCTGTTGTACCTTTCAGATTTTATTTACTCTTTCAAGTTCTTACACTAGGGAGATAATTCATGTTTACATATGTTGGTCTGACTTATTTAGTTTGAGTATAGAGCCCTTTTTGTGCATGCTTCCTTTTTTAAGAAAAATACTATGTATTTTTTTGAGAAATAAATGTGAATAAGACAGTTTCACAGCTAATTAATAGGACAGTTTTGATAATCAATACTTTGTACATTGTTATCTTCTTAGTGGTTATCCATAGTAGTACTATGTATTTTTGCGGCTTTATAATTTTTTCAGTCTTGCTCCACAGTTTGTCAGTTGTATGACACTGGGTGGGATTCTTAAAAGTTCTTCAGTCTCAGTTTTTTTGACCATTCTCTGCAACATCCCCCCAATTCAGCATTCTGTGTCTGTTGAACTCTTTGGGTGAGTTCAGGGCAGCCTGGGCTACATAGCAAAACCTTGTCTCCAGAATGGATTAAGGCCCGGAGTATGTGGCTCACTGGGGAGTGAGCATTAACCTGGCACAGGCCTGGGTTCCACCCTGAGAGTCAAGTATATTTATTTTTTTGTATTTATTTATTTATTGGCAGAACCAAGGATTTAACTCAGACCCTTGCACTTGCCAGGGAAGTGCTTAGTCTACTGAGCCTTCTTCCCGGCCCCTTATTTTATATATTTTAATCATGGTAACCACACATAGTGTGGGCAGAGTGAGTGGTTTTTAAGAGACATTGTGCTTCTTTTGTGGTGGTTCTGTTTTAGAATTTGTACATGTTGAATATTTTTAATTAAAAAATAAAGATTTATTTTGAAACTCTGTCCCTCTTCTCGTTCCTCAGTGTGATTTTCTTGGAGCACACTTAACACCAAGCCTGTGGGGACATGAACACTTGGACTAATCACTAAGGATTCAGCATCTAGATGAGACAGCAGCTCTTAGGTTGATTAACATCAGAGTATGTAGCATGTAAGTAAATATACATTTACATGCCAGGAATGGTGGTACACACCTGCAGTTCCAGCACTTAGGAGGTTGAGGGAGGTGGATCACTGCCAGTTTAAGACCATCCTGGGCTACATAGTGAAAATATACCTATCTGTATTATAATGTGTATATATAATATACATTTATATGTATATATAAACAAATTTATATGTACTTTTCACAAAGTGGTCACAAATACGTTTTCAGTTTTTTAAAATGTATTACAAGAATAGATACATTGCAGTTAACCTTCCCAAAATACTCCTTACCTTGAACATTCTTACCCGTTGGAGCCAAGGAGATGGCTCAGTAGAATAAGCGCTTGTCTGGAAAGCGGTTGATTCAAGGGCCTGAGTTCAATCCCTGGTTCTGCCAAAAAAAAAAAAGAACATTCTTACCCCTTCCTTGACTGTGCCTCTTCCTGATGCACTTTTGGCAGTCAGATCTGGTGAACAGGTGTAGACAAGGATGTGCTGTCATTTTTCTGTCATCTACTTTTCCCTTAGGCAGCACTTGGCTCCAACACTCACTGTATTTTTAACTATACCTATCAAAGACACTCATGAAATGAAAGAGAACTTCCAGAACTGCTTTAGAAGTGGCAAGAATTATGGGTTAAGTGTGTTCTGAGGGAGATTAATGGCAATATGTGTTTTACTGTTTAATTTTAGCATTGTATATTTTGATTCCACCTCATATAACTTAATGAGATATAACATGGTTTAATAGAAGTGTAGTTGTCCATAGGTATCCACAGGGTGTGGTTCCAAAACCCCATTTGGATACAAAAATCCTTCCATGCACAAATCCCTTCTGTAAAATGGTGTAGAATTCTAATACAAGCATCACACTCCTCCTATATACTTCGAATCATCTGGATTGCTTAAAATAAACATAGTATATAGCATGAATTGTATGTAAATAATTGTTGCTCTATTTTACTTAAGACATAATAATCAGAAGAAAACCTACATGTTCACTACAAGTGCTCTTTTTCCCCAATATTTCAGTCCTAGTTTGGTTGAATCTTCAGATTCTGTTCCTGAGGACATGCAGGACTAACTATATGTGCGTTTGGCAAGGTATGTATGAGTTTTTAGGTTGTATAACATAGGCATGTGAACTTTCTTGTCATGCATATGTGAAATATCAGGGATTATGGCATATTATGTTTCATTATATTTGTGCTCCCCCCCCCATTGAACTCAGGCCCATGTGCTTGCCAGGCAAGCACTTCCTCTACTGAGCCATCTCCCTGGTCCCACTTCTGTACTTTCTTAAACTCATTTAGCCAAGTGTTTTTAACTAGTTAGGTAGCAGGGGTGGAGGAAAGCACAGCTGTGTCAGGTATTCCTTTTTTGTATTTTAGGGAAGGTTCTACAGGGTGTTCAGGGTCTCACTAGTAGGTCATACTCTAGTGATCCACCTGTATACAGCTTCCCAAGAGTTGGGATTACAGGTGTGTGCTGCCTTGCCCAGTTTCAATTGCTATCTCAGTGTGCCCCAGGGGCAAGGCCAGCAAGACAGGCCCTGAGATCAACTCCTGACCCCTGTACCTGCTTGCAGGCCCTTTAATCTGCTGAACTATTTGGCAGCCCTTTGGTATTCCTACCTCTCATTTTGTATTTATTCTTACTGTTAACAGTGCCAAAATGAATCGGTCCATTTTTTCTGCTTCCAAATAAGTGATGTAGACATAGAAAGATGGCTACAGTTCTGTGAGAATGCATTTACTAATTTGCCAAAGATAAGCATTTAAGTTCTTGGTAGGTTCAGCTTTTACAACTTTGAGGATAGTAACTCCTAGCATATGGAGTTGTTCTGATCATTCACTTGAATCCGTACCTGCATGGAAAGTCCATAGCATAGTGTCTGATGTTTAGTGAACCTTAGTAAAGAGCATGTGCTTGGAACTTTGTGTTCAAAAAATACAGTCTGAGGAGAGAATGATGGAGTGGTCTAAGCAATAAGTAGTTTATGCCTTTTCTTCAAAGCCAAGTCTGTTAGGAGTTCATTCTCAGATGAAGACAATGAAACACAAAGGGCTATTAATGGTAAGCTAAAAGTGGGAAACTTTGTCCTTGCTTATGTGATGTTGTTGTTTGACTGGTTGGTTCGAGGTTTTTTGACACTGGGTCTCATTATTCAGGCTGACTTTGGATTCTGTAACCCAAGCTGGCCTTGAACTTGGGTCTTCAATCAGCCATAGTGCTGGGGTTACAGGCATGGGCTGCTGGGACCTACAAGCTTTTTTTTTTTTTTTTTTTTTTTTTTTACTTTTGAACTGATTAAATCTTTAACTGTCATTTAAGTCTGTCAGTGCAGTAGGGCATAGTGACACATGCCTGTAATACCAAGCATTCCAGAAGCTAGAAGATCTCAAATTCAAAGGTGCTTAGAGCCAATTAATGAAACTCTCAAAATGCAATCTTAAAAACCCGAGGATGTAGCTGATATAGTGCTTGTCTAGCAAGTATGGAGCCCCAAGTTAAAGTATGAAGAAGGCTGGGCATGGTGGTACAGTACATACCTATAATTCAGCACTGTGGATGCTGAGGCAGGAAGATCATGTGAATTCAGGGCCATCCTGAACTGCATAGTGAGACCCTGTTTCAAAAGGACAAAAATAAACATGCGGCATATAGACCTTACTGGATCCATATTCCAGTGTTTCTAACAGAAAGTACCTCTGGCTAAGAAAGTAACCAAAGGCTAACTACCATTGGTATACTATTATAGTATCAAAAGGATTATTTTTATTTTATATGTCAATGAAAGATTTTAAGAAGATACTTGGATTTTAAATCACACAGTAAGTAGTTGAACCAGGATTCAAATCTGAGATCCTCTTAGTAGCGTTTATCTTTTTTTGTGTCACAAGCTCATGAGTGCCAGGCATGTGCTGTGACACAAAGCTACATCCCTGGCTCAATTTCACTTTGAAAAGGTCACATTAGGTTTCCCAGGCTCGCCTCATGCTTGCAATCCTCTTGACTTGGCCCCCTAAGCAGACAGGGTTATAAGTGTTGCCCCTGCAGAAGTACAGCTTCTCATCACCTATTGCTCTGATAGCTTTGCCTGTACAGACAGGGCCAACACATAGTCAAGCCTTTTCTGTAGGCATAATTTGTACAGGAAAACTCCTTGCACTATCATAGCTTTTTGTTTTGTTTTCTGCTGGCATGAAGAAAAAATCTTTGTAGTAAAAAAAGTGCTCGATCACCAAGACAGAACCAGTTTCATTTGTCAGAACTGGGCATGTTATATTATTCATTGTAAGGAAGAAAGAACTGAAAGGGTTGAGAAAATGTTTCCTAATAGCCAAGTCTAGTGTACATATCAGTAACCTTATACTCGGGAGATTTGCAGTCAGGGCCAGCCGGGGCAGCTCTTGACACAGCAAGGACCCTTTCAGGGTATAAAATGGAATAAAAAAAAAGAAAGCAACACTGAGGCTATAGCTCAGTGAGAAGGGCCTGGTGCTGGGGAAAGCTGTCCAGAGAGGGAGAAAGGGAAGAATATTGCATTCACAGGTAGATGGCTTGCACACTGGAAGGAACTCCTTTTGCTTAAACATCTTTCCGGTTGATGTCACCAATTGTTATCCTTTTGCTACATGTGTAGGGTGTAGGGGGGTGCCTTTTTTTTTTTTTTAATCTTTGGGATTGGGTCCTGCTGTGCAGTTCAGGCTGGCTTGGAACTCACTTTGTAGTCCAGTCTTACCCCTGCCTCACGGTGATTATCCTGCCTCGGCCTCCTGAGTACTGAGAGTATAGGCATTCACCACCACACTTGGTATATTTAGTTGTTGGGCATTATGAAAGTCAATTGCTGCTCCATGGTGGCACACACCTGTAATCCCAGCACTCAGGAGGCTGAGGCAGGAGGATGTTTGAGAGTTCAAGACCAGCCTAGGCTACAAGGTGAGATCAAAGCCAGCTTGAACTTCATAGCAAGACCCTATCTCAAAAAGACCCAAGAAACGAGGGAGGGGGAGTGAATTGATGCCATCCAACAGGTAGTGCTTCTATTTTTCTCTGTGTATCTCCTAAGAATATTTTTTTTGTCTATAATGATTTTATTGTACCTAATTTAACACTTAAGCTAATGACTTGTATGAATGCTTTCATACACTTGTGATTATAGAATCAGCATTAACTGAAACTTCTTTCTTATCACAGGAACAATTCCTTGTTTGGACCTGGGGTTACGGTCTTGAATAAGAACTGTGAAGCTGACTTCGGAGGATTGAGCAGGAAGAGCAGCCACCTAGCTGATGTGCGCGGATACGAAGTAGGGTGCAGGCACCAGGGCGTTGCTAGGTGCAGACTTGGAAGCTTAGGCGTAGCAGGTTAAACAGGCTCTTGGAGGCCAGTAGAGCTGGGCGCCGGTTGGTGTTTGAGGTGGTCTAGAAAAGGACACCCCCTGCTTCCTGGGCTGTACGTTCTGAATCCAGGCTTATAAAGAAGCATTTCCTTGCCCACTGCCTTTTTTAAGTTCCATGGAGCTGGCAGCAACTTTAACAGACCTCCAGGTGGAGGCCAGCTGTCCCATCTGTCGGGGGTACTTGAGAAACCCAGTGACAATCTACTGTGGGCATAACTTCTGCCTCGCCTGCATCACTGAAGCCTGGAAGGATCAAAAGGGCTATTTCCCCTGCCCTTTTTGCCATTATCTCTGTCCACAAAGGAAATTGCAGAACAATTTCCAGCTAGGTAGTTTGACTGAAGTGGCTAAACTACTACCAATAAGAAGGAGTAAGAGAAAAAGGCAGGAAGGGAGCATCATATGTGAGAAGCACAAGCAGGTTGTGACTCTTTTCTGCCAGAAGGACCTGGAGGTTTTGTGTCCACAGTGCAGTTTCTCCACTGATCACCATCAGCACTATATCTGGCCCATAGAGAAGGCTGCAGTCTATCATAGGAAACAGCTAGAGAAGCACATTGAGCTCTGGAAGGAGAAAGTGGAACAGATTGAAAAGGTGATTATTATGCAGACTGGAAAATCAGTGGAGCTTAAGAAAAAGATAGAACAGAGGAGAGAAGAAATAAAGTGTGAATTTGAGCAGTTTTCACTATTTCTTCAAAATGAGCAAGAGACTACCCTTAGGCAGTTAGAAGATGAAGAGAGGGAGATTTTAGAAAAACTAAATGAAAACCTGGCAGAGGCTTCAGATCACGCCTCTGCATCAAAATGTCTATTAAGGGAGATAGAGAGCAAGTTTGTGAAATCAGAAATGGAATTGCTGGCAAGTGTCAAGAGTGTCTACCACAGATGCAGAAGTTTAAAATGCCCTGAAATGTTTTTATTCCAGTTCAAAGATTATACATACAGGCTCCCTCCACAGTATTCTGGACTAAACAAAATTATCAAGCAATTTCATGTAGATCTACTTCTTGATCCTGAAACAGCACATCGCAAACTTCTTATCTCAGAAGATAGGAAAAGTGTGCGTTACGGAAATATGCAAAAATTACCTCATAGCCCAAAAAAGTTTTATATGTGGCCAGCTGTGCTGGGCTCCAAGGGGTACAGCTCTGGTAGGCAGTACTGGGAGGTGGAGGTGAAAGACAAGCCCGAGTGGATCCTGGGCGTCTGCACTGAGGCTCTGCCCCGGAGGAAGAAGGCTCAGAACCAGCCCTTTGTAGTGAAGGAAGGATTGTGGGGGATTGGGCGTTGTGGTCACACCAGTTACATTGCATTTGGTCCTAAGAAAATTAATCTTCTGCCCAAAGTAATACCTACTAAGATTGGCATTTTTTTAGACTGTGAAATGGGTGAGGTTTCTTTTTACAATTTGAATGATAGATCTCTGATGTATACTTTCAGTGATTATTTTGGAGGAGCTCTCTGGCCTTATTTCTACACTGGAACTGAGTCACGACCCCTTAGAATCTGTACAGTAACAGATTCAGAATGATGAGCTAAGGGGCTGGGGAAATAGCTCAGTTGAATAAGCGCTTAAGGGCCTGAGTTCAATCCCTGGCTCCACAAAAAAAAAAAAAAAAGATGAGCTATTGGAAATCTTTATTTTTTTCCTGATTATTGGACATAACCAGTTAGCAATTTCAAATAGATGTAGTCAGTTTTTTTCTTCAGTTTTTACTGTAATTACTCGGATAATTTTTGTGTGTTTGAGCAGGTTCTGAAAAAATGTAACGTGCCTACCATTTGATAAATGGGGGAGGGGGGTCCTACTGGAGGTTTCCAGATAAAATATTTGGAATATGTCTGTCTTAACTGAATGTATTACTCTAGTACTTGCCAATAAAACTACATTCACGTGTTTCTATATCATTGCCTTACTTTCCTTTTAAGAATTAATAAGCCTGTACTAAACACAAGCATTCCTGGACATTTGCTCATTAAAAATGGTCCTTTTCAGCTTTCATCTGTTTTCATATATATTCCTCCGTAACTTTTCTCACGTGCTGGGAGTTGGACCAGGTCTGTCTGTGCTTGGCAGGCACTTTCCCTTTATGTTAGGCTGCAGCTGCGGCCCTAGCCCTGCCTTGTGTTTTGGCTTCATTTTGCACACTGACCATGTAACCGCCCTGCGCTCTGTCTTGGGTCAGCTGCCATCCTTAGCTCATTTTAGGGCCTGACCTGGCCTCATAATTCTGAATGTAGTTCCACATTTTCCTCCTCAGGTTTCTTCTCTTAATGCAGGGTTTCTCCTCTTTTCAATTGTGAAACCTAAGAGTTCTGCTCTGTAGATTTGCAATTGTCATTTTTTTTTTCCCTGTATTTAGGACACAGTCTCTATGTAGATCATACTCAGTGATTCTTCTGTTTTCAGCCTCCCAAACTCTGGGATTACAGGCTTGCCCCACCATGCCTAGTCTCAGTCCCCAGCTCAGTGCACCCTGGGGCAGGGCCAGCACGGCAAGCCAGGAATCAAACCCTGGCCGCTGCACTCTGCCTAAGTAGGCACTTGCAATTGTCATTTACATTAGATTAACTTGAGAATAGTTTTTTTTTTTTTTTTTTTTTTCTTTTTCCCAGTACTTGGAAATGAACCTAGGAGCAATGTACTACTGAATCTGAGTCCTTTCAACTTTGAGACAATGTCACTAAATACCCTTCAAATAGCTGAGATTACAAATTTGAGCTTTAATGCATGACTTAAGTATATTCTTTGGAAATGTTCTGTGTGTGTGTGTGTGTGTGTGTGTGTGTGTGGAACTGGGGATTGAACTCAGGCCCTCGCCAGGCAAGGGCTTGTTCTACTGAACTATCTCCCTGTCCCCTGCAGACTGACTTTGAACTCACTATGTAACCTGTATAACCCAGGGTGGTCTTTAACAGATTCTACTGTCTCAGCCTCCTGAAAATTGCAGGGATTACAGATGTGCACCACTATACCTGACAAGTGGATTTCTTAGGGAGTGTTGGGTTTTTTTTCCACAAGAGTGTCACTAGTTGAAGCCAGCCTTGCACTGAACAGCCACCGTCCTGCATCAGCCTTCTGGGCACCGAGAGGTGTATGCCACCCGGCTCACCTCCTTCTGTGTCACAGTGGATACAGGTCAGTAGCAGAGCACTTACTCAGTATGTGTGAGGAGCAGGGTTTAATCCTCTGTACTGTAAATCATTCCTGAGTTAAGTTTGTGTCTCAAAGGTAGAGTAATGTGTGAGGCTCTGGATTTGATCAGCAACACAGAAAACCGGGATATCTGAAAGGAGGCAAGGTGGTGGATGCCGGTGATCCCAGCGCTTGGGAGGCAGCAGTGAGGGTCAGTAGTTTGAGGCCACCCTGAGCAATTGTATCGAGACGTCTCAGAAAGCACTAGGACATGCAGCTCAGGGGATTGAGCCTTGCAGTTCAACCCCTGGCAGAGCAAGGAGAAAGAAATCCTGGCAAATGGCTTCATCCCACAGCGTCCCTTCGACACACTGGCAGCTGCGTCTTAGGTCCCAGTGTTCCCGCAGGCCTCATGTCACACTACTGGATGACGCTCGATGCCTCACTGTTGTGAGCCCTCCTGTTGTGTGAGGCTCTGGGCTCGGCTCACAAGTCTGCCCACAAGACAACAAGCCGGGGCTGGATCCCCAGGAGTTCTTTTTGTAGAACCTAAGATTGAACTCAGGCCCTTGCGCTTGCCAGGGAAGTGCTTATTCCACTGAGCCATCTCCCCAGGAGCGCCAATTCCACCCAGTTGGGGCAATTAGGCAAGACTCGGGCTACCAGCACTGAGGAGACAATCAACACCATAAACCATGACAGAGTTCAAATAGCAGGATGTGCCCACAGGCGTGGGTGTGGGACGACCCCGGGCTCCCTGCAGCTCAGCCCGCTCTGCTGCGTGGGAAGGGCCGGGGCACCTAGAGCTGGCACCTCTGGATGCCTGCAGGGTTGACCAAGGCCAGACCCCGCCCACAGGACTGGAGGCTCCGCCCTATCATGGGCGGGTTTGGAGGACGATGATTGGCTGTTCCAAGCCAGGTGGGCGGGGCATGGCCCAGGTCAGAACCCAGCGAATCTTCTGAGAATCCTTTCCCTTGGGCCTTGCTGGTGGGGATGCTGCAGGTCTGAGGGCTACATAGGCCCTCGTGACCTAGGTGTGTTGCTCTGCAGCCTGCAGTGACGTCCTGCGCCATCTCCAGGCTGCACAGGTGGACCGGGACACCTGGAACTCCAAATGGACAGGGAGGAGCCTTGAGGCCCCGCCCCACAGACCCTTGGACCCCGGTCGCTGCTGGCCTGTTGGAGTCAGAGCCTTGGCCAACCCTGCAGGCACCCTGAGCTCCCTCTGGTCGCTCCTCAGGGCTGTGCCCCACGATGGAACTAACCTCCACTCTTGCAGCCTGGGACCCCGTAAGTGTTGAGTCCAAGACACCTCCATTGGAGCCTCCAAATGACCTCGCCCTGCCCCCTCCCTACATGTTGCTTTTTCTCCAGTCAATGATACTGCTTTCAGTCCTGAGAAGTGAACCCAGGGCCTAGGTACTGGGCAACACTCTAGCCCTATTTTCTTATCATTATTATTATTTCGAGGCAGGGTCAAATTAAAACACTGAGACCCTGTTTTTTTAAAAAATTAAATCAGTAGTTGCCTATGCAGTGTTGCAATTTCTGATCCTCCTGCTTCAGCCTCAAAAGTGCTGAGATTACAGGCATGTGCCACCATTCCCAGCTGAAGCCATGATTTTAATCATGCTCAGTAAAACAGTTGAAAAAAAAATGTCATCCACTACTCTTGGAAAGAGAAAAAGTGTTTTGATTTTTCACTTTTTTCTCAGGCTAGTCTTGAACTCACAAGGATCCACTTATCTCAGCCTCCTGAGTGCTGGGGATTACAGGCACACACCACCACATCCAGTCTCAATCGCAGTCTTAGCTTGACCCCTGGAGGGGGCAGGGTGCAGCCGGCAGGGCATGCTGCGATCAAATTCCGGCTGCTGTGCTCCGCCTAAGCAGGCACTTTAGTCCGCTGAGCTATCCGGCCGGCCCTGTGTACTTTTATTAGCATGTGTTTGTAGTACATAATGATTATATTAATTGTGGTTCATCACACAATTAACATCACACAATGTTACCACCCTCATCTCTTGGTCCCCTTCCAATTTGCAAAAGGAAAGCGTTCTTTGACGTGTGGAATTGAAATGCAGAATTCTGGAAAGCAGTTTAGTTTTTAAGATTGTCCTAGTCTGTCATGGTGACACATGCCTGTAATCCCAGCACTTGGGAGGCTGAAGCAGGAAGATCGCCAAGAGTTAAGGCCAGCCTGCACTACATAGTGAGACCTTGTTTCAGAGGGGCTGGGGTGAGGAATAGGGGAGAGAGAAGATTATCCATTTGGTGAATTGGAATTTATAATTGATGACTAAAAATTCATCTTTTTTGTCTGCCTCGGGTTGCTACATTTTCAGCACTTATTGATTTATTCTAAAAAAAAAAAAAAAAAAAAAGGAGGCTCTCATTCTGTTGCTGAACTCGCAGGCTGTGCTTGAATTTGAGATCATCCTGCCTCAGCCTTCCAGAGTACATTGCTAGGATGACAAGTGTGCCCCACCTCGACCTAGCTCCCTTTTGACTTTTTGGGAGAGGGTCTTGCTAAATCATCATATTGCCTAGGCTAGACCGGAACGTTCAGTCAGTCTCCCTCAGTCTCCCAGATTTCCGGAGTTACAGCCCTGCACCACCACGCCTTGCAAAACATGCTTCTCAAAAGCACAATTGAGCGGGAGAGAGAGCTGAGCAGCAAATGAGCCTGCCTGGCAAGCATCCCTTTCCTTGTCAGAGGTCCCCGGGGCCGTCTCCTCGTGCATTCCAAGGCCTGAGCCTCTCCCTCCACGAAGCTCCTGGCACGGGCAGGCCCCTCTGGTCCTGGAGGGACACTGCACAGCAGTCCACATGGGACCCGGCTGGCTCTGCCTTACTCGGTTCTCTCGCATTCCTCTCCTGGAACTGTCCAGCCAACAACACGACCAAGGGGAAGGAGACAGAGACTGGGGTGCCAGATAAAAGTCACCAATCAAATTTTCAACCACGCTGGGACAGGAGGTTCTAGACAGGTCTCGGAGAAAAGAGAGAGGAGTTGGAGAGTCGCGCAGGAAAAGAGCCCTCAGGTCTCTTCCACCAATTCGGCGCCACCGCCTTCAGCTCCTTTTTTAAGACGGGGTCTAGGGCAGTGGTGGCGAATCCATGGCAGGGAGGCCGCAGCAGGTACATGGAGCCCTCTCTGTTGGCACGTGTGTCGAGTGCCCCAGACCTTGACATTGGGCAGCTGAAACATCTTCCACATCCCAAATGGATATACACTCTTTCCCTGCCGCCGCCGAGTCGCGCGGAGGCGGAGGCCTGGGTGTGTTCACGATTCGGCTTCACCTGCAACCCGCTGCCATGGCCGAGGAAGGCATTGCTGCCCGAGGTGTAATGGACGTCAATGCTGCTTTACGAGAGGCGCTGAAGACCGC